TGTGCTGAAGTTGTAAGTGGGAGGTTATGAAATACCTATTACATATATGTATGCGCAGATGCTTTGATAAATATAAAACAACTGCATTCCAGCTAGCATGCCTGATCCGTGTACCCGTCGAAATTGCGAAACAACGACGTCAAACACTTGGTAATACACAGAAAACTACAGCACTACAAATACTTTGGCGTGCTTACAAACTAGAAGGGTTGCGCCGTGGTCTTTATCGTGGATTTAGTACTACGGTGATGCGTGAAATACCATTCAGCTTAATACAATTTCCCATGTGGGAATATTTTAAGCTACATTGGACTGCTACAACTGGCATGGATTCGACTCCTTTTACGGTTGCATTATGTGGTGCAATGGCTGGTGGTATTGCCGCAGGTCTCACTACACCACTAGATGTAGCAAAGACGCGTATTATGCTTGCTGAACAGGGCACGGCAACAAGAAAGTTAAATCCACGCACTGTGTTAGCGGCCGTGTACAGGGAACGTGGTTTTGCGGGGTGAGTGGAGGGTTAATATATATGTAGATACACATATGTCTGTACATGATATAATCCTTTATTCAAACAATTTATTTCTTTCTATAGTCTTTTTGCCGGTTTTGCACCACGTGTCCTCTGGATCACTCTAGGCGGTGCATTCTTCTTTGGGTTTTATGATTTAACATTAAGACTTTTGCGTGGCACTGTAGCAGCGGATAATCCAAATATATAGCAAAGCAATAATTGATATGAAATCGCAATGTTCTTTAATTTTAAGTCTATAGGCATGCCCTTAACAAACGGTTATATGTAATATGTACGTACATACATACATATCTTTATGTCCATGGTCCTGTGCAATAACGACACAATTCAAAATTCAACAATTAAAAACCGTTACTACTGTTTAGTAGCTCATGTCTCTAATCCTTATCGAATCCATGTCTCATATTTGAACTTACTTTAGCAATCCTTACTGCTTCCTTAGTAAGGGATGGAAATGGATTAGAGACAAGAGCCACTTAACAGTAGTAACAGTTTTTATTTGTTGAATTTTGAATGGTTATTGCACAGGACAATCGATGTGTATAGAAACAGATATACTCAAATTAAAAATAATTGATTAGTTGTAAGAATCACTTTAATGCTTATTTATAATGTATTTTCTATTTTCATAGACTTTGGATCGAAGCAAAAATATATTTAGAATCTAGCTTAGTTTCCATAACGATCTTTGTCTTAATTTATGAGCATAGCGCGAGAATTATCTTTGTATTTGAGTATCATGTGCTATTACGAAACATCAGGTGCAACAATTATAGCAGGAAAAATTTTATGATTTGATAGTTTAATAGCTCTAATAACCGCTATTTTCGTCAAAGTTTGGTATGCTTGCTTAAGTGTATAGTTCCTTGCGAAGTGTACTTGCGTAACTCTGGGTAATATAAGAAAAAATGTAATATTACAAAACGCAGAGAATGTATCATTATGTTTTAAATGACTGCACTCACATTATCGATTTGTAGTTTCCCCTTCAGAAGACATTCGCTCGGATCGTCGAAATCATAATCGTCACCCTGCTCCATTGGCGTATCGGAATCGTCTTCAAGTGAATACTTGCGCTCACTTCTTCGTCGGCAATAGATACGAGCTAGGCGGCGTCTATTTCGCCCTATCAAGAATACCTGTACGTTGCCATGAAAATAGTGTAAAAATCGATAAGCATACATACATACATGGATTGCACAGATGGACAGAAACATTGATTTAGTTAAATACTCACTAGCGCTGATAAAGCCACAATAAGCAAAAGAACAGTGAGTGGAATTAAAATGAAGTGCCCACTATCGTCTGGCTCAATATCCGTATCCGTTGCATCTGTTGTTTTGCTTGTGGTAGCTGATGCAAGTGTCGTGGGCAGTAAAGTAGGTAAAGTTGAATTTGTATTTTGCTCTAGAAGATCGCTCGTCGTTGCTGCTAACGTGGAGGACATAAATATTTGCAAGGCTGTTACGTTTTCAGTCATTATTTCCTTGTAATTTTTAACACAAATTGTAAATCCCAGTATGTACTGAGTTGTAAATGCAATTCTCCTGCAAGTGAAATGCACACCAATTTTATTTGTTTACATAAATGACAGTTGGTGCAATACAAAACACAAGGTTGCATTTGTGCAAAAACACCTTTGATATGGCATCGCCAATAAAAGCACGCCAAATGCTCGGACAGCTGTCACTGAACGAGCACGTACATAGTCTGTTCCAGTACTGCAGGCTGTACTCGCATGTTATAATGGGAGTAAAGAGCGAAATACACAACAGAAGCGGCTTGACAAACCGAGCGAAACATCCCTTTGCTTTAATCCATTTGGGTTGTCTATGGGCGTGGTGAAACGAATACAGAAGGTGGCGCTGATTGTGATACCGCTAACACTCCCTTGAAATTTTGACAGAGATGTGACGTCGTAGTACATTGTGTCTATTGCCTGCGTAATATACATATACAAAACATATACATACTGACACATCTCTCTCAGCTCTCCCCAGCGGCAAATCTTTGACAGGCTAACCTAATACTCGCGGCTTGCGTTTTGGTACGCATGCCGTCGAATTTGTTTTTTTGCGTCACCCGAAATTGGCTTTCGTCAATGTCAAAACGATGTGTTTGTTGTAAACACGGCGAATTCATTTTACAACAAACACATCATTTTGACATTATTGTCTTGACAATATTGTCCGGTGTTAACCCTAATGCCGGCGAATTCGTAAGGATCTATTGATTTTAGATTGTTCCGTTTTACGTTACGTTTACGTGCATTATAACCATTTGCATTCATTTCCCATACAATAGATAATTAAGTGAAAGTTCACTCCGTTCCGTTACTTCCATTATAACCCAGGCATAAGTTAATGTCAAAATGATGCGTTTGTTGTAATATGAATTCGCCTTGTTTACAACAAATACGTCATTTTGACTTTAATAAGTACCGCTGCGAAAATCTAAATTCGCCATCAACACCGCCTTGTATAAATTCGCGTTCTCTGAGTAGTGGAACAGACTATAAGCGTTGTGAATTGATTTCTTGCAGGAAAAAGTTGAAGATTATTTCAATAAAACCAGGCAAACAATCGCGGAAAAGGCATTAATTGCCTTCAATAATGATGCAGTCCACGAAAAGCGAAACCGCTTTGCAGGAAAGCTCAACGGAATATGTTGATTTATCTGACTACTGTAGGCTGTGTCTGCAAGTGCCAGAGGAGTCTCAATTACTTGATCTACAACTTATTTACGATGAAGAAGAGAATCTTAGCTACTATGATTGCTTCACCGTTTGTACGCAAATAGATTTACACGCTGGTGGTGTTAATGCGCCTCATCAGCTATGCAAGTCATGTGGCTTGGAGTTGCAGGTGGCATATGATTTTCACAAAAAAGTGGAGGAGTCTAAGAAGTTCTTAATGCAGTTGAATAAAACGGAACAACTAGATGAAGAATTCCTTTCGACGTCTCCGCCAATTGCAAAAGAAAGGTATGAAAATAGTGACGTTACGACGCCTATGCAAATTGAAAGTAACATACAAACAGTGACCGAAGACGTGGTCGAGCAGGCTGAAGACAAAACAAATGATCGACAACTCATACTAGCGCTACATGTTAACGATGCTGCAAATGAAAACGAAATAGCTAATAGTCAAGAGATTATTGCTGGCCACTTGGCGACGCCTATAGAATATGAAGCGTTGGAAGAACATATCGAAATGGAAGATTATCAATCGGTCGACGAGCTGGTCGATGAAGGTAATTACATACATACGTGTACTATTTAGAAGTTTAGTAGCGTAGTTTCCAAAAATAGTATTGACTTTACCGAATTTAGTAGCTAGTGGATTTAAATTTTACGAGATATATGTAAGTTTTATGTTAATTCATGCGTATTCGCATGCTGGCATTAATGGAACCCTCGTAGTTCGTAAAAGACTTTTACAGCTCAAGGAAATGCTTATTTACGCATAGAAATTGTTGTATTAACAAGATAACTGGCACAATAGAGAAGTTTAGGGCTGTGTGATTGGGATTGTCTTCTATAAACAGGTTATAACGGTTCCAAAGATTTTGGGAGATGCTCCTTAAATTGCAAGTCGTTCTGTTAGCGTATACGGGACTATTCGACTTAGTAGGACATACTGTGATGTAGGCCACTACTGTCTATCTTGGTTGGTAGATATTTTTTGGCACGCATGTTCTACTACATCAAATGTAACTAAATTCAAGAATGGATAATACATAACTTTAAAATTTTAATACGAAAATACTTGTAATGTTTCCTCAATTGTTTATTGAATGAAGTTAAGTTAAAATTTAAATTCGTGAAAGTTAAAATTTTAAAGTTAACTAAGTTTGTTGTTGCATTATTAATTTTGTTGTTGTTTTTGTTTCTTATATAACTCATTGAATAAACAGATGCGGAAACAGTACAAATTCAAATTGATGACCAAGAGTACCTACTACAAAAGGTCAAATTAAATGAAAAGAATTTTACTGATGGGTTAATCGATGCAGCTTCAAACAAAAGTCCAGATGTGTCCAGTAAAAAACCCTCAGAAATTAAGTCAACGAGCGAAGAAAGTAATTCGGAATTTCAGAGTGATAACATTACTTTTGACTATGAAAGTACTGAAAGCGATATAGAATTAGTTAATGATAAACAAAATGAGGAACATATAATAGAAAAGGAATCACCAACGAAAAAAAAGAATACCGAATCAAATGTCGAAATCGATGTCAAGTCTTTAGTGATTTCGAAAAAAGGAGAAATCAGGGAGCGACGTCGTTACAGTGGCAAATTTACCTGTGATTATTGTCAGAAAGTTTTCAAGAATCGATCACGTATGCTAACACATCGTCGCTCTCACGAACCGGATCGGCCGAAATTCGAATGCGAAGAATGCGGTCGTTTATATGCAACCAAACAGGCTAAACTTGTACATGTGCGTACGTTCCACAACAGAATCGGACACAAGTGTCCGATTTGTGGTAAAATTTACGTTATTGGAAAATTACTTGAAGTGCATATGCGCTTTCATACGGGCGATTTTCCATACGTGTGCGATATATGTGGCCAAAAGTTTGCACAAATGTGCCACTTGAATACACACAAGAATGTAAAGCACAACAGTGTACGCTACTCATGTGAACATCCTGGTTGTGGTAAATTTTTCACCTCATCATCATCGCTACGCAATCACGAATTTTCGCACACTTCAATGCCATTCGAATGTGCACATTGTAAACGTGGCTATCCGGCAAAGTCTAAGTGAGTTATATATGTACTTATCTACATAAATATTTTTCCTGATTATTACGTAGTAGAAGAATCTTATATACAGATGTGTTTATTTGTTGTAGATTAAAAGTGCACATACGACAGAAGCATGGCATCGAAGTGACGCTCGAACAATTGGAAGATATGCGTAAATTTCATGTGATGCGTTCCAGATTAAATTTAGTTAAAATTACTGAATAGATCTACAACTTAAAGCTATACATGAATTAAACTTTAGCTTATTCTAGTTTTATACATAACTATTTGTAGTAAGCGGAGTTTTTTTATGAATACTAGTTGAAATCTTAAGTGTGAATGGATTAATTAGAAAGCTATTAAAATACTAGAAAATAAAAATATATATATATTTTTTTTGTTTGAAAAAGTGTTAAGTAAATTAAGTACTATTAAACATATATTTTCATTATATTTAATAAAACTAATGCGGTGGAAAGTAAAGCCCATCAATTACTAATAGGTATTCAAGTCCTTATCTTTACCTTTCGGTATATGTTTGCATTACATTAATAATAATAATAATAGATTGGTGCTATACATATTATTTTGTTTTATTCTGTTTTTAATTTTATTATGTTTTTATTTTTTTAATTTTATTATGTTTTTATATTTTTTTTTATTTTATTCTGTTTTTTATTTATTTTTTTATTTTTTTTATTTTTTTTTTGTTTTTATTTTTTTTCTGTTTTATTTTTATTTTTTATTTTTTGATGTTGGGTTGAACCGAGCTTGAACCCAGGCCCAGGCTTGAAGGGCCTCTCCGGAGTGTGAGCGTAACGGGTCCATTGGCCAGTGGCTTATGTACCATCGTAAACTTAAGGACTTTTAATTATAATGGCGAGAAATATCAAAACTACGGACATATATGTTTAAGAACACCTACAAATAATATCTGTTAAGACATCGATGTCGAGTATTCCGTATGCATTCATTAGCTAATTTTCAATTAATAAAAATGTATTGCTAAGAAAACCAATTATTTTTTGCTTTTGTTTTAAAATTTATTTGAATTTGAATTATTTTCTGTTTTCTCCCTTCCTCCCTAACTTCAGGAATGCGCAATATATCGTAACGAATCTTATTATATTAATGTCATAAATTTTATAAAGGTTAAAAACACTTTAAACGGTACACCAAAAACCCCAAAATATTTTAAACCATTTATTTTAAAATTTACGCCATTTGACAGTTTCGACACCTCGTGAACTCCCTAATTATGAGTTATTTGTGCATCTGGTAAAAAGTTAGCATCGTTGCCATCCATTTAACGGTTTCTGAGTTCTTTGTACGGTCTGAGTTTTTCTTTTAAGTGTCCTAATTTTGTATTCACGTCAACTTACTAACGCGTTACTTACCACACATTTTGTAACACAAATTCTAGACATCGAAAAGGATCAGCATATCGCCGCATTCAAGATTGAAAAAGAAGAGCCTGTAATTTTACCTATAAAAATGCACGCCAACGAATCGCCGAAAAAACCAACAATACTTGTAAATCTAGCACCGCCATCGGATGAGGATGATATTAATTTAAAGGAATACCTCTTTGAAAATCAAGATCTAATTCCGAAAGTCGAAGATCAATTCGATACGATGCCACGAAAGCGTGGACGCCATCCACTTATCCCTGGTGGACCGCCATATCAGTGTGAATATTGTGACCATATGAGTCCATCGCGACAGCGCTTGGCATCACATCGACATCGTAAACATCGCTTCAATAAGCCATCTCATAAATGTGATGAATGTAGCAAAGAATTTTCAACGAAGCAACAACTGGAACGCCATCGGCAGCGTATTACCTGCCAAACTTATCCCATCTTCAAGTGTGAATTTTGCGAGAAAACCTGTATTGGCCGAGCGAACTATCAGATACATTTGCGCTTCCATAAGAAAATTTATCCATTTGTTTGTCACATATGCGCTAAGTCATTTATGTTGGCGACGCATCTCACCAACCATGTAAAAACGAAACACGAGGGACAGCGCTTCATTTGCGAACAATCAGGTTGTGGGAAAATGTTTCAAACATCGCATGCGCTTAAGAATCACACATATACGCATGTCAAGCAATTGCCCTATCGCTGTGACTACTGCCAGCATGATTTCCCAACCAAGGGCAGGTGAGTGAGAGAGAAGCTCTAATTAAAATTGTTGCTTCTTAAATACAAATGTATATTTTTAGATTGCGTTGGCACATAAGCAGAGTACATGCCATTGATCATACTCTCGAAGAGCTGGATTGTATGTTGGTTGCCAAAGAGATTGAGCTGAAAGCACAGTTGCAGCCTGCATTAGAACCTGACTCCAGTGCACAGATTGAAGAGATTAATGCTGATGAGCTTGCAGACTACTGATGCTGCTAAAATAAATATACTCCAGTTACGGATGTGAAACATTTTATCATAAGTAGCGCAATTTTCGATAAAGAGAAAAATGAAATATTTAATATTTATTTGGATTTTCTCAATTTGTCCTGAGTTTACATTTAAAATAAATGCGCTAGATGACACATAACTGTGTGTAGAATAATATTAAATATTAATTTTAATTATATAGATTTGCCTAAGTTTAGTTTTTGCTCTACCGGCATAAAAACTGCTGAGGTTACTTAGCCAGAAACTATTTTGGGTCGCTCTGATAGCTTACACCCGACTGTCGTGTGAGTCTCCAGTTTTAGTTTTATTTGTTTAATTTTTAACCGACTTCACTAAAAGGAGGAGGTTATCAATTCACCGGAATATTTTTTTTTTGTCTGTATGTTGCTGCATAACTTTGGACCGCCTTAGCCGATATCTAGAATTCCTTTTTGTAAGGAAAGGTGTTACCTCACAGGCGGTCCCATACTAATTTGGTTTAAATCCGATCATTGGATCATGAAGAAATTACCGATTATCTAAAATTTGTATGTGAGAATTGAAGTCGTTTTTGTTTTTTGCTTAAAATCACTTTTTTTAATATTTTAAATTTATTTTACTTAGTACTTGTAAAAGTTTGTTTATTAATAATTTTGTATAATTTTTCGCTTACATACGAACTCATTTGTGTAGCTTAAGCGGTGGTGTTGCAACAGGTGTAGCGAAGAACTTTTAAAGATATTCGCAATGCCATTCAGAAAGAAAAAATGTATTTGTTTTGGGAAACGCATCTTTTCAAATAAAAAACATACTTTAAACTTATTAAAACAGTTTTTAAAATTTTCATTAATAAAAGCTGTAATACCCGTAATAAACATTTTATATAATTTCTTTTAAATATATGGCTCGTTTCTTCTAACGCTTATGATTTTATCCTACATATTTTTATGAACATATAAATTTACTTAATTTAATTGGCTTTGTTTTAAACTACTTTAGTATGTGTATTTTATGTTATTTTTTATTTTACTTTATTTTATTTATTCATTTTTTCATTTATTTTATTTTATTTTATGCTTTATTTTACTTTATTTTATTTAAAACTAATGATCTTTGGGGTCTCGGCTGCAAGGTTGTAGTGGTTTAGTTAGTTTTCATTTATAACAGATTTTTATTCTTTTATTCGATTTTTTAAATAATTTAGTTTGAAATTCAAAAACACAAAATACAATAAACGGGTTTTATGTTGTTTTTGAGCGAAGTTTTACTTCTATTACATTTTCAGTACAAATGGAGTACCTTTTAGTTGAAGAGCTCGATTCGGTGTCTGCTGAAAGCATACTACCCCACTCTGTCCTTTACAGCAACGATAATACAAATAGTAACTCTATGGCCGGTTCAACTTCCAAGTCAGAAGGACTGTCTATTTACTCAGATGCAACGCCGATGAGCGATTATACTACGGGTGTGAGCAAAAAGGACAATGAGTTGAGCGAATATACACAAAGTCAAATTGAAGAACAAAACAGCCCACCCTCATCGCGCGCCTGTACGCCTGATCTACCAATAAAAATAATTCATCCACATCGTGCTGGCCGCATCACCTGCGATTTTTGCCAGAAATCGTTTCCCAGCCGTAGCAAAATGCTTTCCCACCGACGCATGCACGAGCCGGATCGACCGCGCTTCAATTGTACCTTTGAGGGCTGCGATCGTTCTTATTTATCACGTCAGTCGTTTGAGCTACACTACAAACAAACACATTGCTCGCGCGATGACTTCCTACCGTTCAAGTGCCAGCTGTGTAATAAAGCGTTCTCGGTACCACAAACGCTGGAGGTGCATATGCGTTATCATACGCGTGAATTTCCCTACGAATGTCAGCATTGCCATCGCAGATTTGGACAAAAGGGACATCTGACGACGCACATGCATGTCAAACATAATAATTTGAGATACATTTGCCCGGAAACGGGTTGTGGCAAAGTATTCAAAAATACGATTTCGCTGCGTAACCATAGCTTTTCACATACGGGTATGCCTTTCCGGTGCGCCTACTGCGATAGGGGCTATCCGCAGAAGTCGAGGTGAGTAGCTACGTATTTCTTTATTGCGTGCAAATATCGTATGGATAAAATATGCGTTAACCCAGGAGGAAATTTGTAACTGCGTCTTTTGTAACCCAGCAGAATATCTGTAATTTTTTCTTGTGTTCACAAATAAACATTTCTGTAGACTACATAAGGGCTATTTCAGGAGCACTTTGCAGGTAGTTTAGGACGATTTCACGACGATAGTTTGGGATCATTTCGGGACTGGTTCATCACTATTTAAAGACCATTTCGGGATAATTTTGGGACTATTAATTGACCATTTCTGAACCATTTCAAAACTTGATCGAGATCATTTCGGGACAAGTTCACAAATTTTCGACCATTTTGGGTGCAGTTCAGGACCTTTTGTGACTATTGAGGAAAAATTTCAGGACTTGTCGGAATCATTTCAGAGCTAGTTCGTGATCATTTCGAGACCGTTTCGGGTCCTGTTCATGAACATTTCTTGAATAGTGCACAACTAGTTCAGGACTATTTCGGAACTAGTTCCAGCCTAGTTCGGGACTAGTTTGGGATTATTTTGGGACTAGTAAGGGACCATTTCGGGATCATTTCAGGGTAGTTCGAAACTAGGCGTGAAATGATCCTGAAATATTATCGAGAAGTGTTTTTGAAAAAATCGTGTACTGGTCCCGAAAAATTGAATAAAGTGAAATGAAATTATTTTTTAATTTCTAAGCTAAACTATTTGTGTGCATACATCAGGGTTCGTATTTGCACACACATGCGCAGCACATCTTAACATTTTACGCTCACACACGTGTGCTGTGCATATAAAAAATTAAAAACTTGCTCACATCACATGTGTGTGCTGTTTGGTAAAAAGCACGGGCACATGTGTGTACTTTATTTTTATTAATATAAAGCACACGCACATGTGTGTGCTTTGCGTAGAGAAACTTATACACTTCGATTTCTATCTCAAATCTTAAAATAATTTTTTAATATGTTTTCTGTCATATAAAAAACAAACAACACCTCACTTGTTATTGAATTGTCTTTCAAAAAATAACGTTTAATAAACAAATTCTTTTAAAAATATATTATGTGCATGTGCATGGGCTGAAATTTGTACAAAAATCGGCTCACACACATGTGCATGTGCTTAATAACAAACAGCACACACTTTTCTGTGAGCAGAGTTTGTTTTCCACTTATGCACACACATGTGTATGAGCAGTGAGTACAAGTTGAATGTGTTTCTGGCGTGTGTGTGAGCAGAGCATGTGTGTGCAAATACCCAGTGGGAATTAGGAGCACGTAATAATACCTTATTAGCAACTTAC